CCCCAAAACCCCAAAACCCCAAAACCCCAAAACCCCAAAGGGTCTTCAAGTTATTGGATTTTCAGAAGATTACTTATAATGGACGTTAATATTCTATTAAAAAGGATACAGCTTCCTCATAATTACCTTGTGCGAGGTTGCTGTCTATTATTTCTGTCCTCTTAAGTCTTTCAGCCTCGGTTAACGCATAAAGATGAGCAAGCTCACTCTTGACAAACCTTCCTCCCTTCCTAGGCTTCTGGAAGGCAGAGCGTCTCCTGCCTGAATATCTCTTAGAGATAGGACAAAGTTGCCTTCTTCTTTTTTGCTTTTGCCTCAAACGTGCGATCTTAAGTCTTCTTTCTTTTTGAGTGTAAAAACCAACCAGCTTTCCTTCTTTGGCCAAGTTACTTCTTACAGTATTTTTATTAAAGATCCCGCTCATAACTATTCTTGAAGGCTTGCTAATTTCTGATCCTATGGAAAGTCAGTACTTCTGGGAATAAATCAGGCATCAACATTTGCTGATAAAATGATTATTTCCAGTCCTTTCAGGACTGGAAATAATTTTTCAGAAAAGATTATAATCCTGAACAAGAAGTCCCTGAAATAACAGGATAATGAATACGAGAAAAAATATAAGCATAAGAACAAAACTAGCATAAACTTTTGATGTTCTAATGCTCAATAACAAATCTTTAGTCAATAATTAGTTTATAAAAACCTTCAGGGGTCAATAAATTTACTAACATTTTGGATACTGTTAAACTTTTTGCATCTATCTTTAATTAGCAGACCTCTTCGGGACGGAAATAAAACCTAAAAGGGGTAGAAAGAGTTCCTTATAATTTCTCGCCCTTAATTTACCACTGGAGATTGGCAATTTTGGAGTAAGTTGAAATAGCTTAGCAGTAAATCGAACTTTTTATGCCTAACATGTCTATGCATAAAAACTCGGAATTCTTAGTTTTTACTCATAAAGATTTTAGACTTCCGAAAGTAAAAACCCAATTGTTTCTTAAACTAATAACAATTATCGTCTTTTGACTGCCTCGTTCTTGGTCGAGGTGAGAAATTTGGTTGGAAAATTTCTCAAATAAAATTTAAAAGGTGAATTTATGGAAAGAAGGTTTAGAAATAATGAAACCAGTAAGGATCACTCCCACAGTACTTACCTGAATGGTTTTTACTCCTGAGATCTAGGTTGGAAATACTCTCAATCTCCTGGGTCTCACCACAAGTTGGAGCAGCAGTGGGTCTCCACTGCTGATGTGAGACTTGTTCATAGCCATAAGAGCAGCTACAGTAATCTCTCAAGGATAGGACCTGAGAGTTTAAGTCTGGTAACTCAGCGTCCTGAATTGCGTATTCTACCACAAATATTTGTTGTGGGATTACTATAAAGAAGGATAAGCTCAGAAGCAGACAAAGCTTTTGGGAAACTAACTCTAGCGTACCTGCGAAAGTTATATATTCCTGTTGAGGGAAGATCATATAATTATTTTAATTTACTTAGCTTTCAATGATTTTATACTAATTTGGGGTTTTGGGGTTTTGGGGTTTTGGGG